GAGTTTTGCCATCAAGATGCAGTTTTAATATTATTTGGCGTGCCTCAACACCAGTTTGCTTCCCACGTGGAGCCATTTCGCAAAAATAATTTGTGTTACTGTACTCTTATGAGCTTGAGAATATAACGAAATGCAATAAGCAAAACAAAAACGAAAATCTCTGCCAAATAACGGATCTTTTTCTTGCAGTTTTCTTTTGTCCGATTTGGCGTTGGACCCACTGTATACATATGTGCATATATAAAGTATGCTTCTCTTCGAGGGCCAGATGGACATGAAATATATCGACAGGCGTCAGCAAAAGACGGCGTTGATATCTCAAAAGAATTTATATGCCAATTCATTCAAATATGAAAATTTTGTATATAAAAATTATTTTCTCATTTTTGCGCTTAGACCGTGTATTACTAAACAGCTAAAGGAATACATTGCAGTAGAGGGTCGTTCGCAGGTGTATTGATCTGGTGCGCAAACTGATCTGGTGTGCTGCAAGGGATGAGCAATAATAATGAGCGACGACATTGTAATCTACGACGCAAATGACGACGCCAATCTATCGGACGAGAAAAGCAGCGACTATGAGCCTGAGCCTTTGGAAGATGGTATAACCATTGGCGTCTTCACATTACTCTGCACTCTCGGTTCATTAATCTAGACGTTACTTTGCTTGTCATTGATGTATGTTGAGTGCACATGTTGTCGATGTTCAGCTACATTCTGGGCGTAATGCTGTAGTCTACACGTCGCACGCTATCATTTATCTACGGCGTCATCCCTCGCTACCACAGGTGTACTGGTATTTCCATATATGACGTCCAGTTTTAAGATTAATCTTCGTTTTAATCCCATAAACAATGTAATATCTAGTTCAATCGTGGGGATAACCGAGTGTCCGATTTGCCGTGCCTGTTTACCAGGTGGGACAACTGCTGTGTACATGGCGAAAGCATTTAAAAAGTAATCCTGAGCGCTAGATTTACAGCATTAAGTGGCAGCGCGTGATTAAGACGCTCAATACAGATACAGGTCACTTCACACTGAAGAGTTGGAATTGGTATGAGTACAAGCTGCTCGTTCAGCAGGCATCGACAAGTCTGTTAGGAAGTGCCACCTTTACATCTGATGTAGAGCTGCGTGCTCATCATGACTCAAGGCGATCGGATCTCGTTCCATGGCAGTCTCCACAATTTACGCCCGCTGGCTAAGAATGCACGCGATCACTTCATTCTTGGTTCTCCGCCGCAAAGTGGATCCGAAAACCATAGTTCTTGGACAATAAGTCTTCGTATGCCAGATATGATGCGTTAAAATACTTGTTGCATTGCCTTTGGAGTCTATTGATAACATTTAGATAGATACACAAATAGAAAAATAAAATTGTTTATATTAATTAAGAGTAATGTTTATTGTCACTTGCAGTAACAGTTATTACATTAGCTCATTAGTGGGACAAGCGAATTACCTGTAGTCAAAATTTTAATAGTATCAACAAAGTTATCGCTATGCCGATGTGTAATTAACTTTATGGAACTAGTTCCAGTGTTGGGCAAAATACAATAAAAAAAAAATACATATATAGAGACAATAAAATGGAAATGGAACTAGTTCCAGTGTTGGTCAAAATACTATTAAAAAAAATACATTTTTAGAGACAATAAAATATACCAATATGTATTTAATCTTATTGATATAAATATCCATATGCTGATTGATATTTATTTACTAAAATTGAATGAAATATGCAGTAAATATTGTTAACCACATTAAATAAATAAAAATATATGAAATTTCATTGTTTGGTATAAAGATATAAACAGTAATTGTGCAAATGACTTGTGCAATTGTCAGTAATCGATTTGAAAATATATATCGATATTTCGTGGTAACATCGCTAGTGCAAAGTGTATTTAAAAGCCGATGCACACGGTGTTCGGGGCTAAATAGTAACAGAGACTGGCAAGTGCGATAGTCGGGGCAGTTGCAGGCAATCACTTATCAACAAACGAGATTATTAGCTTGAGAAAAAGGAGCAGCAATATCAATATGATACCAACAATAACGAAAAACTACCAGAACGTGGTCATCAGCACGGGCAACATTATCAATAACGAGCTGGGACAGCGCAAGTCTAACGAGGAGCTGTACGATGGGTTGAAAATCACCCTGCACAACAATCCAAATTCAGAGAGCGTGGTGGTTGAGATTGACAAGCGGCATGGGCGCGTGCTCTGTGCTACGCAGGAACTGAACAGTCGATTGACAGAAAATGGACGCAATGAGATTAGCATTGGTGCAAAGATATTCCTCAACAAATATTCGACGGAGTGCATCAATCAGGCCGTTGAAGCGTTACTCAACATACTCAATGTGACGCATGTAGACAACGTGGTGCTCGCTTACCATCCGAATGCTTCGACCGTTGCCAGCGCAACAACATTAGCCACAACAGCTCAAAGTCCCTGCTCTGAGGTGAACGAAAGCGGAAGCAGCACCAGCGTTAGCGATGCGGCCAACAGCTGGAGTGCACGTAATGGTGAGCAGGGTATAGAAGAACTGAAGTTACTCTATAAATGCTTGGAGAAATACGCACTTAAAGAGCAAATCAAACAGTTGGGCATTGCCGATCTCGATGCAAAGACTTTGGCTGAGTTATACAAATCGGCTGAGGTGGTGCCCACCATAGCGCAGGTAAATCTGGCCACCTGCTGCGTAGTACCAGCCGAACTGCATGAATTCTGTCGCGATCATGAGTTGGTACTTAATACACACAGCGATCCGGAGCTTCTTTTAGCTGAGGAGCAATTCGCATGCTTGGCCCCCGGCTATACAATCGATTGGTCTCTGCGTTACCAAGTGCATGTCCGCTGTCGCAGCGTCCTCACAGCCAAGGGCTATATAGTGGGTGCCTCCCAGTCGAGCAATGATAATTAGAAGTGGAACGAAAGGCTGACAATACCTAAATTTAAGCCGAACTTCTGATATATATATATATATATGTATCATTGTATGTATGTATTCATGAAATACTGTTTTTTATTGTTTGTTATACAAAACTCAAAATCGAGATGAGAACAGAAGTGAGTGATAGTCTAGCAGTGAGTGAATACTTCAAACGATTTGATTGTGAACAGTTTTTCTTGTTTTTCTTGTTTTTTTTTTTTTTTTTTATAAACAGTTATTGAAACCATTAAATTGCTGTATTGTTTCTGTAACTGGTAACAGGTTTGTGTAATTGTAATACAATATAAATATAAATATATACATACATACATGAGTGTTATTCAAATCTTTTCAACAGTAATCATCAATTGTTATCGTCAGCGTAATACGAGACTTGAGGCAGACTTTCCGCATTTGTTTTCTTTGTCTAGGCTTATGTCTAGTCTGTAGTCCCGTATTGATCACGTGACTTCGCTGCTTGTCATTTAGTTTTTTAGTTTAGATCATCATGGAAAGGTATTTTAAATATATTGTTGTTGAGATGCTATCTGATAGGAAGTCGAATAAGTGCCACCGGCCGACACTTCAATATGCCATAAGAGTTAAAAAATAAACAAATAGCGAAATACTTACAATTAATAATAACTCTAATAATTTATGCCGAGCTAAACTAGCAATCAGTTGAGCATTATGGCGGTCATAAATTATAATGCCATATGAGGTGTAGCGCATGTATTCGGTCGATCTGACTACATACTGGGTGTATGGGAAGGCGCAGATGAACATGAGGCACATGTATATATGTATTGTGTGTTCATACAATGTACTATGTATGTACATACTATGTACCTCCTATTACACACGCATACACACAATCTTACATGAATGTACATTCTTAAGTATACATACATTCATATGCCTATATATATATATGTACATACAATTATAGATTTAATAATTTCGCAACAACTTCAAGTGTCTAAAACAATATCATTATAATAAAATTACTGCTGCGCTGTTTGTAGCGACTGCGATGTCGTCATGACTTGCGATTCCAACTTATAAGTTGAAGGGAGTCCGCTATATAATGAGCGCGTGAGTCAGGCAAATATTAATGATCTTCGTGGGCGCTTTTGTGTGTTAGTGTAGTGCAGCTCCAGGCAAAGGGCCTGAAAGTAATGCAACTAATTTCAGAGGTTGTAAGTGACAAGTGAGTATAACAGTGGCATTGGCCATTTTTGCATATACATGCATACGAATGTATATACTAATGTATGTATATTTAGCTATAAAATGAGGAGTTTGTGTAAATTTTTTTAACCTGAACTCATTGAAAATGGGAAATCAGGGTATAATGGTTTTCTTAAAAGTATGTAACAGGCAAAAGGAAGCGAAAGCTAGTTATTTAATTATATCTCCTACACCTTTGAAGCTAGAGCTTCCAAATTTAAAATGTAGACATACATATGTATTTTATCCAATTTCGATTTGTGTTAAAATTTACCCCCAGCCCTGTATTCACCCTATCACCCTCACATTTGTAAAAGGCGTATTTCAAATACTAGATACTTATGCTTTGGCAAATGCATGCATGTTATAATCATAATCTGAAAGTTTCATGAAGAAAGTACATCCACAAAAAAAGTTATTGAACAATTAAGTTCCCATAGTAATCCACCACTGCAGTGCACTGCAGCCAATGCGTGTTTATGCGTGCGTGTGTATGTCTGTGTGTGTGCGTGTATGTGTGCATATGCGAATAATTATTGAAATATCAGTTGCTCGAAGGGTTCAGGGGATCTCGTAGTCGAGCAGTCTCGACTAGAGCGTTCTTACTTGTTCATAGACACATATGTATGTATATGTATACTCATGTATAATTAACTACATATAAATCAATGACTTTGTGTTAGTGCAGAATCATCCGAAGGGTAAGGAAAATTATTTTGATAGTTTTGCGGTCTGGAGTACGCATAGTCAAATAAATTAGCAAGGCATGTAAACTTCATTGATACAGTGAAAATTTGAATCAGCTTGGGCAGACGACAGCTTGGTTGTGCTTACTCAATAGTTGCATAAATTCTTTTTGTTTAATGTTTAACTGAATGATCATGGTTATACACATATATGCATGTATGTATATGCTGTTTCTTTATTCATGTTTGCAATGTTAAATAATAATTAGATTTTACTCTCTTGGATCGAAGATTCAGAGCTTTCACTGTATAAACAAACAATTTACGGTAAATCTCGAAATTAAAGAAAAAGCAACCATTGATAGATAAATTGCATAATTGAAGTATACATATCTTGATAATCAAATAAAAAAAATAAAAAAATAGGAGGGTATATTTTTTGATCGCCAGATAAAAACAAGTAAGAAATCATTAGTCGAGATTTTTACCAGATATAACGGACATTTAAAAAATTTACCAATATACCCTGATTTCCCATTTTCAATGGATTCAGGGTATAAAAACAATATGCTTAAGTCAAAGCCCACCAGGTAAATCAAATATATGTACATATATAGTTATTTTTATTTTAATACATAATAATTTAATAACACCATTAACAGTTGTGAAGTCTTTATTTAAATTAATTGAATCATTTCTCTTCATCATCTTCCTCGCCTTTACACTACTCTTCTTAGGTTCTTCTAGTACATTTATTTGTTCAATATGTCTGAATTTTTTATTAAAAATTATATTGTATATAGTTAACGGACACCAAAAGTGTACATGGAGTAGTATAGAATATATACATCTTTTTTAATTTTAAACCATCATTTCATATAGAGTTTTACTTGATTAGACCTTTTGCTAGGCTGCCTTTATTTAGCAACGTTTACTGAACACTAGATATATTATATATTTATTTATGTTTATGTATATAATATATGTTTATATAAATATAAGTATATGTGCTACATAATCGTATCCGACATTTAAAACCTTAATCAATTTACAATTAGATTGCGTAATAAACAGCTATTCTACTCTGTAAACAATCTTTTGGGGAACGGACGGCGGTTTTTATACTCATTTTTGTTGAAGTACTTTAATAATTCTTTACTAAATAACAAATACAATTAATTTTAGCTAACACAATTCGTTGCAATTTTTTTTTTCTTTTTACTCTATTGGAGCGTTGGGCATTTGGGATTTCAATTTCAAGTTATGTTCGTTGATTTGGGGCTTTTGGTTAATCCAAAAATAAAAAGTTTATCAAAAAATGTTTAATAAATATTTACAAAAAATGTTGTACATAATTCTCTCTCTGTTTTGTTCTTGTTGGTCTCATCTTAAGTGATTCAGGATTATCATATCTATGTTTTTATAACGAGATATATATGTATGTATATACGTAAGTATATTATTACATTATGATGGACTCTTGTTTAGGAATTTGTTCCGTAGCTGTGTATAACTATGTTGGACAATTTGGATATGTGAGTGTATTCAAATCTAGAGTAAATAGAATAAGCTAATACACTCACACCTAGAATATTTGAATAACATATATTTATGTATTTATTATTTGTATAATACTCCTGTCTATAAACACATACCACGGGAATGAAAAGTAACAAAGGCCAACAGAACTTTAACCTGTTTATTTTAACTTTCATTTTATAAACACAATGCAATTGCTAATATCTTTTCAATTATCTTTTTCTGAAAAACACTAAAAAATATATATTTGCGTTTATCAGCTTTACAATCTATAAAGTAATCTTAATGTTATATTAATATTGTTTAATTAAAATTGGAAATGACTTATTATAATTATTTAACACATACAATACGCACATTGGGGGAGTCTACAATTTTATGGTATATATATTTGTTAATATTTTTAAAAATTATTTTTGCTTCCTTCAACATTTAGATTTATATATTAAAAAAATGTGTGCACCTAAAAAATTGCCACAAAAATACAATCAAAACATTTAGCTTGCTAACCTACAAAAATTGATTATATCAAGTATATGTATAATATTGGTGTAATCTGTTTCACTTATATCTAAAACAGCTCTAACACAACTAACAACAATTTTTCGCTTTATTTACATATTTATGTGTGAATAGGTGTTCGTGGCTGTCTGTGCTAAGCTGCTTAATATATAATACCATTTTATTACAGTTTCTTAGATATACATATACATATGGGAATTTCTCCGGAAAACTTTTTTTTTTGAAGCGTGCGAGCCCCTTGGTTTTTTTTTTTTTTAATATCTTGAAAATTTACCAAATATATTGCTAATAAAAAACTATAAAAGTCATTATTATTAAAAAAAATATATATATATATTTTGGCATTTGTTTAGCACATTGTTTGCTGCGTTTTCAAGATGATGAAAAAACTAAAGGGTTGGCATGCTTCAGATTTTCTGTAGAAATAACCAATAGACACAATCTTATCTTTTTTCTCATTTAGCATACATATGTAAGTGATTCAGTCTAATTTGGGGAATTGGTCGTCAAACTTGTTTGGGCACAGTGAGCACCCATTAAAGCAAACACCAAAAAAAAGCCAACAATAATACTCATGTGGGTAAATTGGCGTGTGTACAAGTACACATTTTGGTCGGTATACCAATATCTGTTAGCTAATTATGTTAAAATAATCTACAACGAGCCAATTGCTTTCGTTTTTAATAGAAGATCGAGTTCTTGAATCCTGTGATTCAATAGGAAATATTTCATGTAACGCATTCTTCATTCAAAGATAGAAGTAGTTAGAAAGTAGTATTTTAAAATAGTTTTTTGATTTTCGCATTGTTTGCTTTGTAACGTAATGTTATTTTTGGGTAGTAGGTTATTATTAGTTTAGTAGGGATAAGAAGTGTTATATGTTGAGCCACGAAGCTATATATTTTTAAATTATTCCTTTCAATTCAATCTATGGAAAAATCAAATTGAATACTGTGCAAACGATATTGTGGTAATATGTACGTATAATTGTAGTGTCTCTAACTGATCATAGAATATACATACATATAAATTTTATATACAAACTTGAAGGTATACCAAGCTCGCACT